TCAGCACGCCCTGAGCGTGTACTCTGAATCGCTGGGGCGGGTTAAAATCCCACCAGCCCTTTGGGCGTGAGTGGTTTAGAGAGCTCTCTCTGTCCTCAACCCCCCAACCCCCCTTCTTCCCCTTCGGGGAAGGGTTTACCCCTCCCCCTACCCCCTCCCCCTGGGCCTGGAGAGGGCGGGCCGCGGGTCGTCAGGGGTTTTTTTTTCGACTCCTGGGAGGGCCAAAAAACGACGACCCTCACGAGGATTCTGGCCCCGACGGGGGGACTGCAAAAAAAACCTCTCCTCTTCTGTGAAGCCAAAATCATTGATTTTACTACGGTTTCGGCCCCATTTTGGCTTCTGAGGGGGCAGCGCTCCTCTTCCTTCTTCTCAAAATCATTGCTTTTACTAAGGTTTTGGGCTCATTTTGTCTTTCTCAGGGGGTAGCGCTCCTATGCGCTTCTGAGGAGGTCGCAAGAGGCCCCCAAGAGGCCCCAAGATGCCCCCAGGAGGCTCCCAAGAGGCCTCCAAGAGGCCCCCAAGAGGCCCCCAAGAGGCCCCCAGAGGCTCCCAACAGGCTCCCAAGAGGCCCCCACGAGGCCCCCAGAGCCCCCAAGAGGCTCCCAAGAGGCCGCCCAGAGCTCCCCAAGAGGCCCCCACGAGGCCCCAAGAGGCCCCCAAGAGGCCCCAAGAGGCCCCACGAGGAGCCCGAACGACTCACACCAGGACGAGGGGCCCGAACGACTCACACCACGAAGAGCCCGAACGACTCACACCACAAGGAGGGGCCCGAACGACTCATACCAGGACGAGGCGCCCGACCGACTCACACCACGAGGAGCCCGAACGACTCACACCACGACGCGGGCCTCTAACGACTCACACCACGAGGAGCCCGAACGACTCACATATCTGCAACGCACAGAGAACCGAACTCTTGCATTACCTCTGGAGGCCCTCCCGTGGCACTGTAAACCTGCAAGATTAGGGGAGGCCTTCTTCGCCCCAAGAGGCCCCCAAGAGGCCCCCAAGAGGCCCCCAAGAGGCCCCAAGAGCCTCCACGAAGCCCCCAAAAGGCCCCACGAGGACCCCGAACGACTCACCCCACGACGAGGGGCCCCAACGACTCACACCACGAGGAACCGGAACGACTCACACACAAGGAAGGGCCCGAGCGACTCACACCAGAACGAGCGGCCCGAACGACTCACACCACGAGGAGCCCGAACGACTCACACGCAAGGAGGCGCCCGAACGAGTCTCACCAGGACGAGGGGCCCGAACGACTCACACCACGAGGAGCCCGAGCGACTCAGGACGAGGGGCCCCAACGACTCACACCACGAGGAGCCCGAACGACTCACACACAATGAGGGGCCCGAAGCAATCACACAAGGAAGGACGAGGGGCCCCAACGACTCACACCACGAGGAGCCGGAACGACTCTTCGCACCAATGAACTAAAACTGAGTAGAATAACCAGCACTTTCACCAGAACAAGATAACAAACACCATCACAGATGCAGAATCCAGCACCCGCGAACTACAGTACGAGCTTCAGCCGTCTACAATACAAGTGCCACCAGCAAGCTGTTTCCTATAGTAGACCCATACGTGAAGCGTACGTGGACCAGCTGAGTGTAGTACACGTTCCACCAGCAAGCTGTGTCCTACAGTACAAGCCACCTGAGGCGCCACGGAAAATGTGTAGTTGCACATCCACCATTGGAGCAACCCTACATCCGTCAGGACCCCCAGAGGCCCCGAGAGCCTCCAAGAGGCCCCCAAGAGGCTCCACGAGGAGCCCGAACGACTCACACCAGGATGAGGGGCCCGAACAACTCACACCACGAGAAGCCCGAACGACTCACACCAGGACGAAGAGCCCGAACGACTCACACCACGAAGAGCCCGAACGACTCACACCAGGAAGAAGGGCCCGAACGACTCACACCAGGACGAGAAACCCCAAACGACTCAAATCACGAGGAGCGCTTTCTCTCCCTCCTCCTCCGCCTCGTCCTTCTCCCGCTCCCCCCACAAGGAGGATTCACAAGGAGGCGGGAGGAAGGAGGGACAGGGGAAATAGACGGAGCCCAGCGGACACACGCCTGAAAAACACAACTGTCGACATGCTTCGCGAGAGCTGCTGCTGTGAGATGGGCTGGTGGGGATGCGCGAAGCGTAAAGAATTGACACCCCTCACGCAGATCGGCGGGGTCAGGGTCCAAAAACACAAGAGATTTGCCACATTTCTCAAATTCGGTAACACCCCTCAAACAAATACCCCTCAAACAAATCGGCGGTGAAGACATATGGATTTGCCACAATTCTGAAATTTTCTGGCACCCCTCACACGGATCGGCGGGGTCAGGGTCCAAAAACAAAAAGGATTTGCTACATTTCTGACATTCGGCGGAACCCCCCACGCAGATCGGCGGGGTCAGTGTGCAAAAACAAATTGGATTTGACACATTTCTGAAATTCGGCGGCACCCCTCACGCAGATCCGTAGGGTCAGGGTCCAAAAACACATGGGATGTGCCAAGATTTCTGAAATTCGATGACACCCCTCACGCAGATCGGCGGGGTCGGGGTCCGAAAACCCACGGGGTTCTCAAAAATTCTGAAATTTGCTGACACCCCTCACGCGGATTGACAGGGTCAGGGTCCAAAAACACATGGGATTTTCCACATTTCTGAAATTCGGCGGCACCCCTCACGCAGATCCGTAGGGTCAGGGTCCAAAAACACGTGGGATTTGCCAAATTTCTGAAATGCGGTGGCACCCCTCACACAAATCCGTGGGGTCAGAGTCGAAAACACAAACAGGTCCCGACACTGCTTCACGGCGGCGCCCAGACCTCATGATTTAGCTTTTGCATCTCCCATGATCCGAGACAGGGGGCTGGCGGCATGGGGCGAAGCCCTTACGGATAATCGTCCCCAGACTATTCGCTTACTATGTTTGGAATACTCCTCCTGTAGAGGGACGGGCCCGGCTTACGGCCTGCACCCACGCCCGAGACAGCCGCCCCTCTGGAGAAGGGCGGCTGCTTGGCCCAGGCAGCAGCGCGCGAGGCGCGCTTCTCTCTCCGCGCCCCGCGGGGGGGCCCTGGGGTGAAGTCGGGCGGGACCCCCACAGGGGGAAGTTTTGGGCAACAAAAACTGAAAATACTCCAGAAACACCCCCCGGATGCCCAAGAATAGTCGAAAATCGTCCCCTGACGATTGTTTTACTGTTTCTGCATATCCCTCCTGCAGAGGGAAGGGCCCGACTTCACCCTGGGGCGTGCGCACCCCTCGGCGCCTGGTGGTCCTCGGGTCACGGCTCCAGCCTCCGGCGGCCGCTGGGGAGGACCCGGGCACCCCCGGAGCGCCCACGGCGCGGATCGGCTGAGGTCGGGCCTGGCCCCCCTACAAGGGGATTCTCGACGAAGCATAAAAAAGACCCCCAGAATGCTCCAAAACTGTCGAACGATATTCAAAAAACAGTCCCCGCACTAATTATTTTTTGGTACTATTTTTGAATGTTCCCCCTGTGGAGGGACAGGCCCGACCCAAGGCTCGGCTGCCGGAGAGGACCCCCCGAGGCCAGCGAGGCCTTCCGGGAGCACCCGGCGCGGGCGTGGCAGCACCGCGGAAGAGCACGACCGGAGCCCGGGATTCCATCTCTGTCTGTGGCACCTGTCGGGCGTTTCGGAGGCAACTGCTGGGAGGTGTTCGTCGGACAGGTTGAGGGGGATGAAGCCCCACTTGGGGGGGCTGCTACGCCGGAGTGGGCCTCTGATATCAAGCGGGATGAAGCCGGAGGAAGCGGGATCAAGCAGGATCAAGCCGGATTTCGGACCAGGGCAAAATCAGAATTTGACCTCCCAGGAGTTGCATCCGAGCGAGCGGCATGGACCTGTGCTGGCGCTGGGGCCCGAAACCAGACGAAGTCGCCTGGTGCGACAAAAATGCGACGCCAGGATCTCATGGACTGCGGGTGTAAGAGTGACCCTAGGCAAGACTGACCTGTGGACGATCGAGGGGCCCCAGTGGGCCCGCATCGCAAGTCGCTCCGGCGAAGGGTCACTCTTCTGTGTAATCGATCAGGGTCGGTCCACGTCAGGCGCGTCATCTTCGAAACTCTGGGCTCCGAGATGCCGCGCGAGAGGTGGTCCGGCGAGTTTCGACCGATTCATCCTCCAAGCTCTAGGCTCCGAGATGCTTCGCGAGAGGTGGTCCGGCGCATTTCGACCGAGTCATCTTCGAAACTCTGAGCTCCGAGATGCAGCCCGAGAGGTGGTCCGGCTCGTTTCGCTTGAGACATCCTCACAACTCTTCGGGGACGCACTGACCCGGGTCGATGCAAACCCGGGTCAACCAAGCTTTGCAGGATCCTGCAAGATCCCGCAAGATCCTGCAGGACCCTGCACGCAAGCCTGGCACCCCTGGCTCTGCAGGATCCTGCCAGGTCCAGCGCTTGGCTGACCCCCGTTTGCATCGACCACCGTCCCAGGGCTCCGGAACGAGCAAGGCGCGCCCGCTCCTGCCCTTTTTCCGCGGAGCTGGGCGGCGGAGGCACGCTGGGCCACGGCGCGCCGCAGAGAGGGGAGCGGCGGACGGAGGCGGAATGCTAACGCCGAGGGGCCTGGCCTCCAGCCAACCACCCTGGACCCTGGCAGAGAGGCTCCCCCCCCCCACTCGGGGCTCCGAGAGGCGCGCCCCCCGATCTTCGCCGGCGAGGCGAGGCGAGGCGCGGGTGAGGTCGTCGTGGGGGACGGCCCCACGAGGGCCCGAAGGCCTGCGCGAGGAGGAAGGGGGGGAGAAGGGGGGAGGGGACCCAGAGAAGGGGGGAGGGGTCCCCGGAAGTCTCGACCCATTCCCCAGGACCGGTTTTTCATCCTGAGTCGTTTCTTGACGGTCCCGAGGCCGGGCGAGGGCCCCTGGGGGCCAAAATTTGCGAGAAACCTCCCGTCTTGATGTTTTCAATGCGTTGGCTCTCGGGGGACGGTGGCGAGGGCGGTGGCCGCCCGTCCTTGGCCTCCGCGGCCGCCGCGGCCTCGCCGTGGAAGGCCTGCAGCGCCAGCGCGGCGGCCGCCCGCGCCTCCTCGCTGCCCTGCTGCTCCGCCTGCGCCCGCTCGAAGGCAGACGCGCGCTCCTCGCCGGGCGCGGCGCGCGCGGCCGAGGGGGGCAGTAGCCACGGGGGGGGGGGGCTGCCCACCTTCTCTCTCCCCCCTCCCTGCCTCCAGCTTCCACCTCCTCCTCCATTCCTCCTCCATCCTCCTCCTCCTCCTCCCTCCCTCCTCCTCCTCCTCCTCCTCCAGCTCCATCTCCTCCTCCTCCTCCTCCTCCTCCTCCTCCTCCTCCTCTTCCAGCTCCTCCTTCTCCTCCTCCGCCTCCTCCTCCTCCTCCTCCAGCTCCTCCTCCTCCTCCTCCTCCTCCTCCTCCTCTTCCTCCTCCTCCTCCACCTGCAGTGGGCACACACGATACGAAGTCTTTGCTGTAGGAAATCCAGGGGCACGCTTTTGGCTGATCCCTGGATCTCCTTCAGTGTCCCAGGCTTCTGCAGATCCCCTGGGCCATGGTGGGATAAGAAGCTTCCGTGGGCCACCTGCTCTGGCAGGCTGGCTTCTCATTGCGCACCTGCTGTAAATTAATACACATGAGTACTACTCTCCTCTCTCCCCTGAAGTTGTCGGGGGCGTGGCTCCGCCCCGTCCACATATTGCTTCTCATGCACACGATTTCAAAATTGATATGTTCCATCTATGTTGCAATCCGGTTGTTCCCAACCATCCTGTGGTGTTGGGTCCTCGCTTTGAAGAGACAGTCCCCGCGTCTCCTTCTCCTCCTATTCTCCTCCTCCAGCTCCTCCCAGCACTCCCGCCATCCCCTCTCACTTGGCACACCACACCCCTTACACGGTTCGCGGCCTCATTAAGAGCTCCACCGAAGACCCAACGTAACTGTTGCACCGTCCAAATCATGAGTAATTCCAAAATACATGTTTTGGTACGCTGATCGTGGGAAGCCGCGAATCTCTTGCAATTTGTAAAGAAAGAATCTGCGCGGCGCTAAGGCAAACACATGTTGAGAACCACCGGCCTTCAGTCCGTGAAACTCTTGCAGATGCTCATCACGTATGTACGCGGCGCTAAGGCGAGAACCACAATTTGAAAACAACCCGCCCTCAATCCGTGAAGCGGTTGTACATTTTGAAAACGAATGTGCGCGGCGCTGAGGCGAGAGCCACATTTTGAAAACCAATCGCCCTCCATCTGTGAAGCTTTTGTACATTTTGAAAACGAATGTGCGCGGCGCTGAGGCGAGAGCCACATGTTGAAAACCACCCGCCTTCAATCCATGAAACTCTCGCAAATGTATAAAACGAACGTGCGCGGAGCTTTGCGAGAGCCACAATTTGAAAACCACCCGTTCTCAATCCGTGACAGTGTTGAAATGTTCGAAATATAAGGGACATAAATGGTGAGGAAGTCTCAAGCGAAGCGCCCGGCCCGCCCAAAAATCTTGCTTCGGGGTACGACAGGGAGAAATTAGTTATAAGGAAAAGGAATGAAGGAGGAGAAGGAGGAGGAGGAGGAGGAGGAGGAGCTGGAGGAGGAGGAGGAGGAGAAGGAGCAGGAAGAGGACGAGAAGGAGGAGGGGGAGGAGGAGGCGGAGGAGGAGGATGAAGTAGAGGAATAGGGCGAGGAAGAGCAGGGCGAGGGAAAGGAGGAGGAGGGCGAGGATGAGGAGGAGGAGGAGGAGAAGGAGAAGGAGGAGGAGGAGGAGAAGGGCGAGGATCTGGGCGAGGAAGCGCAGGGCGAGGGGGAGGAGGGGGAAGGGGGAGGAGGAGGGGGAGGCCACCTCGGACAGCACGCAAGCGCGCCGTCCCCCGAGGCCCGACGCCGCGAAAAAGTTCGCGACGAGGGCCCTCGACCGCGTCTTTGCTCGGAACCCTTCGAGCCGGATCGATCCGCGAGGGCACTCGGGGGGACCGAGACGGGTCGACAACCATCCCTGAGACGGGGGCTGAACTGGCTGGGCCCCCAGAGATGAGGAGCCGATGTTCCACCACCTCCCCATCCTCCCATCTCCCGCGTCCTGCCTATGAAAGTGGTAGTGGGAAACTGGCCCATCACGAAATCGGTCAGGAGGGGGGAATGAAGCCAAATCCGTTCAAAATCGGCCCCCCGGTGCTCAAATGGTGTGTCGTGCCAGTGCCCGTGCGCAAGGGGTCCTGGCGAGGATGTGACATCTCCGTGCTTCCGCCCCCTCCCCCCAGGCCACCCACGCAGCATAGTAAGCCTCCTGCAAGCGACGATGGGACTGAGGGAGCACCTTCTCCTCCTCCTCCCCTTCTTCCTGCTCCTTCTCCTCCTCCTCCTCCTCCTCCTCCTCCTCCTCCTCCTTCTCTCCTCCTCTTCTCCTCCTCCTCCTCCTCTCTCCTCCTCCTCTCTCTTCCTCCTCCTTCTCCTCCTCCTCCTCCTCCTCCTCCTCCTCCTCCTCCTCCTCCCCCTCCTCCTCCTCCTCCTCCTCCTCCTCCTCCTCCTCCATTCCTTCTCCTCCTCCATCCCTCCTCCTTATAAATAACTTCTCCCTGTCGCACCCCGAAGCAAGTGTTTAGGGCGGGCTGGGCGTTTCGCCTGAGACTTCCTCACCATGTATGACCTGAAGCTTAAAAATTAGCAACAGCTTCACAGTTGAAGGGCGGGTGGTTTTCAAAATGTGGCTCTCGCCCAAGCGCCGCGCACATTCGTTTTCAAAATGTACAAAAGCTTCACGGATTGAGGGCGGGTGGTTTTCAACATGTGGCTCTCGCCTCAGCGCCGCGGACATTCATGTTAAAAATGCACAAAAGCTTCACGGATTGAGGGCGGGTGGTTTTCAAAATGTGGCTCTCGCCGTAGCGCCGCATACACTCGTTTCAAACATTTGCAAGAACTTCACGGAATGAGCTCGGGTGGTTTTCAAAGTGTGGCTCTCGCCTTAGCGCCGCGCACATTCGTTTTAACAATGTGCAAGAACTTCGCGGATTGAGAGCGGTTCCTTTTTTAAATATGGCTCTCGCCTTATCGCCGCGAACCTTCTTTCTCACAAATTGCAAGAGATTCACATTACCAGGATCGACGTACCAGAAATTGTGTTTTGGAAGGATTCACGACTATGAGGGCGCAACAGTTACAATGATTCGCGGTGTTGAAGTCCCAGGAATTGTGTTCTGGCACGATTCAGGATCTTCAAGACGCAACAGTCAAGTTGATCCATGGCGTTGGAATACCGAGAACAATGTTTTGGCATGCTTCAGGGTCTTCAAACGGATGTCTTCCAATGAGGCAGGTCCCTCTGTGGAAATTAACCGCTGTAGGGGCCTATGAAGGGGGAGCTTGAGGGGAGGGCTTATTCCAACATCCTTGGTGACTCTTGGGTTTACACTGGTCCTGCTCCTCCTCCTCCACCTCCTCCTCCTCGACGAGACCCAAGGAACATATTGCACAACCTCCCCGCCCTCGCCATCTCGTGGGCGGGACACGAGTCGGAAGTCCACGTCAGCCGGCCACAGCCGGAGGGGAGCTGTGTTCCCTACCCCCCTAAGGGGGAAGCCATGGTATCGACGATCTCTCGAGTCCCATCGTGTCGAGGTCGATGGGATCGACGATCTCTCTCGTATCGACGATCTCTCGAGGGAGCTGTGTTCCCTGACCCCCAGGGGAAACCCATCGTGTCGAAATCGGTGGATCCCCCAGGGGGGAAGGACCACAGCTCCGCCAATTGTGGCTTGCCTGCCATGGCCTCGCGGGCTGGGCCCCCGGGCCGCGGCGCGGGGCGTTCTTGTTTGCACAGATCTTGTTTGGCGGATCTGCCCCGCGCGGCGCGCATCCGTGCGACCGCACGTCCACGGGATCGCTCCCCAGAATCCAGACCGCGAGGGCGCGGATAGATTGATATGGCCGCCGCTAGTGTTGGAGGCAGTCAGGGAGTCTGAGCTGGATGGCTCCGAGAAAAGCAATCAAGACGGGGGGGACACGTAAGGGCAAGTCCCATCAAAATCGGTCCCCAGACCCCTTCAGGGGTCCATCTAGTGCAGTTTTCCTTACCGGATCCACTTTCGAGGGTCCCAGGGCCCGAAAACGGCCCCCAGAGGAAAAAGGCCAAGAAACTTCTCGAACACAGACCCTCGGACCTGCCCCCCCCCCCCCCCTTCCTGCTGGCCAGAACCAGTGCTGGGCCACCTTAGACCTCCAGCCGACTCCAACCCCCCTAATCCCCCCAAAAAACCAGGGCCGGCTCTTCATCCTGAGTCGTTATTTGACGGTGCCCCAGCCCAGCGAGGATCCCCAGAGGCAGAAAAGTGGGAAAAACCCTAGCCTTGAGTTTCTCGAGACATTGGAGGTCTTCGGGGACGCACTGACCCGGGTCAATGCAAACCGGGGTCAGTCAGGGTCCTGCAGGGTCCTGCAGGTCAATGCAGCCCTGGTCCTGCAGGATCCTGCAAGGTCCAGCGCTGGGGCTGCCCCCCGGTTGCATTGACCCCCGTCTCTTACAGCTCGAGGAGGCCTGAGTTCGCACGACGCCCCAGTCGGTTTTGTCCCCAACTTTTTCCACCGCAAACACGCCGCCAAGAGCTCCCTTCAAGGAGTCGGCTGCCCCAGAGCGCTGGACACCAAAATGCCTTGGTTTAGTGCCGCTGACCCGAACGTGTCCAGGAAATTCGCAGGCCCAGGGAGGAGAGGGAGGAGGAGGAGGAGGAGGAGGAGGAGGAGGAGGAGGAGGAGGAGGAGGAGGAGGAGGAGGAGGAGGAGGAGGAGGAGGAGGAGGAGGAAGAGCAGGCAGGAGGAGGAGAAGGGGCAAGGGCGCAGGATCAGCATAGGCTTCTGCCTGCACCCCCCCAGGGCCTGCACGCGGGCCTCGGCGCTCTCCACTGCCGCCTGCCCGGCGGCCACCTCGGGCGCGGCGCCGCCACAGGGGGCGGGGGGGGGGGGAGTTCGGGGGAAGCCCACGGAGGCCCTCCCCCCCCCTCCTCCTCCTCCCTCCTCCCCCCTCCTCCTCCCCCCTCCTCCTCCCGCCTCTTCCTCCCTCCCTCCTCCCTCCTCCTCCATCCCCCCTCCTCCTCCCTCCTCTTCCTCACTCCATCCTCCCTCCTCCTTTCCCTCTCTCCTCTTCCTCCATCCCTCCTCCTCCCTCTTCCTCCCTCCCTCCTCCCTCATTATCGCTCCCTCCCTCCTCTTCCTCCATCCTCTTTCTCCCTCCTCCTCCTCTCGCGCCCCCTTCAGGAGCATCTCATGGGAGTATTACGAATCGACGCTAACCGACGCGAATCGACGCGAAACCAGCGCTACATCGACGCGAAATCTGCGCTATCAAATCGATGTTACAAGGCGCTAGCACACGCCAGTGTACTCTAAAGGCGGAGCTACGAGGACATACGAGGCTCCCATGATTTGCCGCCGATGGAGAGGTTGGCGGCGCGCACAAGGGGATAGGGGGAGGGGGAAGGCTTCTTGGAAGGAGGCTGCTCCTCAGAAGGCGCGGGCCTTATCTATAGATGTAGGGCCGGCGCCCTCTAAGAAGCAGCCTCCGTCCAAGAAGCCTCCACCCCTCCCCCACACCCCCTTGTGCGCGCCGCCAAGAGGTGTTCTCGGAAGGCGGCGGAGCTTCTCGGAAGCCCTCCAGCCTTCTAAGAGGAGTCGTTCCCAGACGTGCGATGGCCTGTGTTTTGCAATGCGCCGTCCCTGGAAGTCCCGACCCTTACCCCCACCCCCCTGTGCGCGCCGCCAAGGGAGGGGAGGGAGAGAGTTCGGGGGAAGCCCATAGGAGCCTCCCTCCTCCCTCCCTCCCTCCTCCTCCCTCCTCCTCCTCCTCCTCCCTCCTCATCCTCCATCCCTCCTCCATCCCCCCTCCCTCCCCCTCCTCCCCCCTCCTCCCTCGTCCCTCCTCCTCCCTCCTCCCTCCTCCATCCATCCTCCATCCATCCTCCATCCCTCCTCCTCCCCCCCTCCTCCCTCCTCCTCTTTCTCCCTCCATCCCTCCCTCCTCCTCCTCCTCCTCCTTCTCCTCCTCCTCCTCGTCCTCCTCCATCCCCCCTCCTCCCCCCACTCTTCCTCCCTCCTCCTCCCTCCTCCCTCCTCCCTCTCTTCCTCTTCCTCCCTCCCTCCTCCTGCCTCCTCTTCCTCCCCCCCCCCTCCCTCCTCCTCCTCCTTATCCTCCTTATCCTCCTTATCCTCCTCCTCCCTCCCCCTTCCCTCCCCCTTCCCTCCCTCCCTCCCTCCCTCCCTGCTCTTCCTCCCCCTCTTCCTCCCTCCTCATCCTCCCTCCTCCCTCCTCTTTCCTCTCGCCCTCCTCCCTCCTCCTCCTCCCTCCTCCTCCTCCCTCCTCCTCCCTCCATCTCCATCCCTCCTCCCTCCCTCCTCCCTCCTCCTCCCCGCTCCCCCCTCCTCCTCCTCCTCTTCCTCACTCCCATCCCATCCCCCTCGTCCATCCCCCCTCCTCTCTTCTCTTCCTCCTCCTTCCTCCTCCCTCCGCCTCCCTCCTCCCTCCTCTCTCCTCCCTCTTCCTCCCTCCTCCCTCCACCCTCCCCCCTCCCCCCCTGTGCGCGCCGCCAGGGGGGGGGGAGGGGCGAGGGCGAGGTGGAGCGGTCCTCTGAGCGGGCCGCGGGGGCTCCTCGGAGCGGCACGGCCCCATCACCAGCCACCGTGCCGCTGGGCACGGAGCAGGCGTGTCCTCGGGTCCTCTCCCTACACGTCGGTCGGAAGAAGCAGATAAAGACGTGAACTAGAAAGGAGGACAAAGTAGATTGGGCTCAGGCCCTCCCAGAGAATCATAAAACAGAGCACAAGCATGGCGATTCTTCCTGAAGTAGGAGGGACGCTGGAAGGAGACTGGGATCGGGAGATCCCAAAGTACCTACTTTCAACGACGGGGGTGTAATCCTGAGGAATCTCTGAGGGGCCCAGAGCCCACAGTCGCCGACCTATCGATGAGGCGTCGCCGATTGCAAGTCGATGTCCCCCCCTCCCGGCTGGGCGTCTTTCCCAAACCAAACGGGTCTTCCCAAACCAAACCTTTGGTTAGGGTGACCGGGGGTTTGGTTTGGGAGCACCCGGTTGGTTTGGGAAGACCCGTTTGGTTTGGGAGAACCCAGAGCTTGAACACCTGGTTGGTTTGGGAAGACCGGGTTGGTCTGTGAAGGCCCGGGGGCCTTTTGGGCTGTCTTGGAGCGTCAGGAGCGGACCTCAAAATCATTGAAACACCTGACCCCAAAGTCACTGACACACCCATGGGAAATCAATGATTCTGGCCTCTCGGGGCCCTCTTGGGAAGTCTCTTAGGGGCTCTCTCGGGGCGTCTCGGAGGCTTCCTGGGCCGTCTTGGGGCCATCTTGGGCGCGCCTCGCGGCCCTATTGGGCCGTCTTGGAAACCTCTCGGGGCCCTCCTGGCCCGCCTTGGGGCCCTCTTGGGCCCCGAACGAGTCAAGCGACACGGGGGCCATCAGAGCCGCATCGGCGAGCAATGGGCGATTGGGGGTCGATGCACCCAGCCAGCTCCTGCTCCTGAGAGAGTCGGGTCGGGCGAAAGGGGGGGATAGCAAAGGAGGGGTTTGAGAATCAGCTCGCGTAGCTGATTTTCCCGGCGCCTCCCGGCGCCGG